TTTCAAACGAATTATAATTTAGTTTTGGTTTAGGGTCCATTAAAACGCTCAAATCATATATGGCTGCTACTCCACCTCGTTGGCAACTCACTTACGCTCTTTCAAGCTACCTTGTGGTACATCAGTCAAGTCAAATCACAGTGTTTAGCTATCTGGTGATGTGGGCCTTGCTACGCGCTCAGGTGCCAGAATAGGTGTCGTGGGTCCAGTGTGACAACTGCCACAAATGGTTTCACACCTTGTATGTCAGCTGGTAGGAGGAGATGGACGGAGAACATTTTTGGTGATTTTGGTGTCTCGATGTTTGATTTATTTATTATTAGGGCCCGAGCACTGACCAGGACCTATAGTGTTTGCTAGGGTTATTATTATTTTAGTACCAAATGAATCACATTTTTGGAGGCCAACTTACGAAAGTCTGCACACATGTCAGTCATGGAGAAAAATTCTGTATTTTATGGGTCTCCACTATGACCATGGCAAAATGGCCCCACAGGCGCCCATAAACTTCTTCAATCTCAACAAAACTTCACATGTATGATAAGAGTCCCGTCCTAAACACGTCTACATGATAATATTCAGATAGTCATAGCGCCCCCTACTGGAAACAGGAAATGTCATGTTTCATAGCAGGTTGATCAGATCCAGCTGACAATTAGTTAGAAAATGCAAAACATATTGTTGATGATATTTCATGATTGTGGTGACTGTTTGTTGTGTCATTTGTCTTTTAATTAAAGAACATAATTTTATGCGTGAACATTGATTTGTTATATTATACTATATACTAACTCTGCACTGAGTGCATTACAGGTAATTGTTATATGTGCATACAGCATATGTGTCTATAATTGCTAAATTAAATGCATTAGCTTGTATTTTTTTAAGTGATTGAAACGAGAAGTGTTTAACATAATATCCAGTAGGTGGTAATAATAATTTAGAGTTGTCGAAGCATTGTGTCTTATTTTGAAGGAGGAAAGTACAGTCTCGGATGTGTTGATGTTAGTTTGTCCTACTCAGGAACAACTTAATACCCCCACAACACCAGCAGCGCTCAATGTTTACAGCAAGTGTACGTAGCTGTCTGACTCAGGAAATGCTGCGCACGGCTAAATCACCAGCGATAGCGTCCTTTTACCGACTCTAGTAAAGAAGTAAATGGTTAAAATGATACATGGTTAGAAAGTTAAGAACTTTGTCTTTACATTAACACCTTTAAATCAACTGAAACCATTACATGATCATTTATATTAGTAGTTCAAGGGAATTGCTAATAGAATGTTAGCAAAAGAAGTGTCCGACTCAGGACACATGTACGTGAGACTAATTAAAAAATAAGTAATCTTTGAAACATTACCTTCTCTTGTGCCAGGCTTATTGGTATCACACAAACTGCAGAATGCCGGTTGAATCCTCAAACAGGACAATATATTGTAATAATAAATAAATTAACTATCATTACACTAGGACCTGGAGTGAGTGGACCTCCCCAAGCACCACTAAACATGAAAGGTATAGAACATATAACACGTGGGCCTCAACTGACTTTACATGTTCGAAAGGGAACAATGATAATGTAATGTTTATCAATGTGCTGTGCAAATATATATGTATTTATATACATTAAAAAATACATAAGGTCAAAGACATAGAGACACGCTTGTAAGGCCACAATCTAATCCAGCAATCAATTAAACTTAAAAAGGTTCAAATATAATAGATTTTACATTTTAGACATCTGGATCCAGCTTCAACAGCATTCAGTGGCTTTATTTCAGCTACTTCACAGAAAAAGTGTTAAAAGAAAAAACAGCATCCGAAAAAAAAAGGACATGCAGGTATGCTGTGTAATATCTGAATGACTGACAGCGCATAAAAATAACTTTAGAGCGACGCTTTGATATGAACTGAATGAATTCGAACATGTAATGAATGAAACGGAGAAGAAGACAGAAAGACTCAGCGTTTAAGTTGGCTACCTCTTCTACAGAGTTTCCCTCATCTCCGGGTGAGCAAACTCAGTTTTCTCTAAACTTTAGCTAAAAGATGTAATGCTAACATTACAGCATAGCTAGCTTTGTAATAGCAGTTAGATGACAGAGCACATTAATATGAAAATATAAGGACATTGAATAACATAATCTTTCACAATCACATAGTAATAGCGCTACAGATCTATACCATTCAGAATCATTACCACTTTTTCCGTAGGTACCGTTAACAGGTGACTGAAAAAAAATCACTATATTTAAATAATTCAATTAACATTATAAACGTTTGACAACTATTGGCTTTAACTAACAACCACTAGTCGACTCGGAAAATCTTTAGGGCAACAGCCAAGCACAGCGCAAAAGCGAGCTAATGTGGAGTATCCGATATTCCTTATTCCCTGCATCACTAATTGTTAATGCTAAGCCTACCTGTAAATTATGTGACCAATTGGGAGCAAGTGCTGTCCTGTATTTTAAAGAGAAACTCCTGGAAAATGTCCTGGAATGCCCTGGAAAATTATTTCTTAAAAGGACTGGGAAATGTTGTCTAGGTGCAACCATCTGGAGCACACCAGAGTACACATCAGTAGGCTGGCACAGGATTAAATTAATCTCTTGTAAAAGTTCTCATTCTGCCAAATCAATCACTAATTTTTACCTGTGTTGCACTTACATGTACTTCTCCTTTAAACAATAAAGTGACTTGGCAGAAGATTGTGAACAGTGTTCTGTGGCCCCGAAGGCTCTCTAATGGCTGACCAGCCAACAGAAGTAGTAAATTTCACTAATGACTTTCCAATGGTCTTTAATTCTCCATTTAGGAGAAGAGGAAATGCCAGGGCCGTTGGAAAGGTTAATGTGACTTTCACCCACTAATAAACATGCCTTGATCAAAGAACAATGCAATTAAAAGCTTCTTTATTCACTGGACATACACACACGCTCCCTCACACACACATGCATATGAACACACACATATGCAGATGCACAGATATCACAACTATTTCCCAATTAGATTTTCAATTTTGAACTAAATGGATGAAGTTAATGAAATGGTCTTTTAGAACAGACTGATTTTCAGTGTGAGAGATGGTGATAAAATAAAGATTACGGAGAGGAAATCAATGAGATTGGCCTGAAAATGTAATATATTTAATAAGAACAGCAGATTAAAGAGCTGATGTTAGAGATTGGAAAATGGAATGATCACAACAAAAACAACCACAGACTGATGAAGGCGCTGATGATGATAGTGAATACTAGATAATCCTGTTTCTGCAGCTTTCTCAGCCAGAGAAGCTAAATGAAAACTGGGTTTTATTTTTATGATTTTGAGACATTGAAACAGGCTATTTTGTGGAAACCCAAAAGAAAGAGATAGACTTGGATCTAAAAAGCCAAAATAATTTTTTAACTTCCCAGGCCCAGGGCTTTAGGGTTCTGGAAATACTGAGGTTCGAAGCTATCATACTTGAGACATTTTTTCTATTGTCTCTGACTAGTCTTGGCCTCGGCCATTGGCTGCCAAATATTCTAGTTGGTCTCAACCAAGCATTCTCAGTCTTGACTCTATCCCTTTCATTTGGACTCTGGCTCAGCTTTTCCCGTAACACATCCAGTACCCACCCTTGATTTTTACTATGTATTATTGTCTATATGTTATATTGTCTCTATGACAAACACCTAGCAGTGCTAGCACAATTTAGCACAATTTAGAGGTCCTTACCCCAGTAACACTTTGTTCAAGGACTGGGCCAGAATAAGATAAGAGGAAAGAGAGTGTGTTGTTACTGCTGACTACAGACTGAGGGAAGCTGCTGAGCTGTTCCACGTCAATTGAAGCATGCCATCCATTTCCCCAGTATACAGCACAGACACTTGCACACACCCTGAAACCCTGAAAACATGCAGTTCGCCAACCTTGGGACCGCTGGAGCAGCTGGAGGCCCACTGACCCTGAAAGAAGATAGGACAACACAGAAATGAGCATGATGCTCTAGTCTGGGACAACACTTTATTCAAAAAGGAACATAATCTATATAATAATTTGTTTCTAACCTATAGCACTTTGAGATCTTCTGATGANNATTATTATTATTATTATAATTAATTGGTACTTAAAATTGGTTCTTGATAAATGCAGCTTTCATGTGGCTCATGTTTTTCCTGAGAACTAAGAAGCAGTACCTGCTTGTGTTCAAACTAGCTTGTGAATTGGGTTTTACATTAGCTGATTGAAAATAGTGTCATATTGGGGTCCTGTTGGTAACTATAAAGCCACATGGAGTCTGCCTTTGCTAAAATCCATCCTTAAGCGAGAGCTGTGACAGCATTCTTGATCAAGGATGTTCTCAATGGGTGTTGGACTCCACCAAAGCTGTCGGTTGTCTTCAATTCAAGGATACAGCAGACTGCTGAAATTGCTGCAGTGCTGCAGCTCTGGAACTGGTGACCACTGCTCATAGTTGAGTTTATCAGCTTAATAGTAAAGAAAAAAATACACAGGATCTGAAACAAGATGTAAATTTCATTATCAAGGAATTAAAATATCCTGTTTTAAAAACTTAATACGTTGATCCTCTCCAGCCGACTGTTGGTTGATGTGTGAGTGTGTACTTGGGTGTGTGTGTGTAATAGTAAATTGCTGACTTCATTAAGGCAGGCCTCCTATCCTCACTCATTTAATTACTAGAGAAAAGGTTAGTGCCACAACGCAATTTACCAAATGTGATTTCTTAGCAGCTATTAACTGTGTGTGTGGGTGTGTATGTAGAGACAGAGAGGAGGAGGGGGATGGTGGGTCTTTTTGTGCTCTCTGTGGATGTTTGTGAGTATGTGTGTGTGGGGGTGCTTCAATTAGATTCAAATGCTATCAAATTCACAGGGCACCATTAACTGTTGTAGAGGATTTTTTAGTTTAAGTTCCATGTAGGATGCAGGCAACTTAGGTAACCAATACCTGTCTCTGTGGTGTACATGGACCTCCGCTCTGTAGTAATTAGTCCACCTTGCAATATTTTGAATTAAAGAAAACCCACAGGAGCACAGCCAATGAAAGGGTGCGCTGAGCCTCATCATGTCCCATCTTTGATTCTATAATTGTGATGTTTAGTGCAGACAAAGTTAGGAACCTTCAAGGTCCAGTGTGTAACATTTAGGAGGATCTATAGTCAGAAATTGAATATAATATTCATAGGTATGTTTTCATTAGTGTATAATCACCTGATTATAGGAATTGTTGT